CTTTACATCATAGTATTTGTATTGTTTTATTTTATTGATGTGTCAATCCCACTAAATATCAACTTCCCAAATGAGTTCATTTGCTCCCCCAGCACCCCTTTTCTTTTAACATCTCCCAATTTGTATGTTTTCCTTCACCATCTGTAGTTTTTGAACTCTTTGTAAGTTGAGTTAATGTCTTATCATATCATTCTCCTTTCATTACCCCTCCACTTCATCATTCCATTGCATGTCATACCTCCTGCTTCTAATCTATCCTTATCATTCAATCTCAATCAAAATCTTTTGTATCCATCTTTTTCTTCCCTGTTCAAATCCATTCTCCATCCACTTCTTATTTCCTATCCATCTTTTCTTTCATTTGATCCTCTTGTAATGTAAAATGTTTTCCATCAAAGTCTATTACTCTGCTGTATCAATCCCATTGGACATCATAGTCCATCACACTAACACTCCTGTCTGTTTGACTTTTCTCTTTCTGTTGCCCTCTTGCTACTCCATCCTTCCCTCCTGCTTCTGGTTCTCCCTGAATTTGATATCCATTGTTTTAATCCCTTTCCTATTCTTGTACTCTGTTAATCCCAATTCATATGTGTTCCTACCCTCTATCCATTCCTGTACTACTTTTCTTGAATTGTTATCTTTGACTCCCTGCCTCCTCTTTTCCCATGTTATAAATGTGCCATTTCAGCTCATGGCATTGGTCTCCCTTGATCCATCCCACCTCCCACACGCTCCACCTCTCCTGCCTGTCCTTTATCATCATTTGATTTGATTGGTTTTCTTTACCTTTCAGCCCAATTTCTCCTGTGTTTTCTTTGTTGATTCCTTGATTTGAATTGCTTCTTCCACTCTTTGACTGTACTCCATTCTGTAACATGGTATGACTTGACTGGTCTCCTATCACTTCCTTTGCTCATTGAGTCTATCCCAATCCACATGTACTCCTACTCTCCTGCCTTCCTCTGTATATTCTAATGACTGATTTCGCTTATTTAATTCCCTTTCTTATTCTGCTCTCAATTGTTTTTGATATCTGGTCCTTACATTCTATCCTTTGTTCATTTTGGCATGCTTATCTTGTAATGTGAATTTTCCTCCTGTTATGACTTTTCCTTTCTGGGATGCCACTTGACATCACATCCCATTACTCTATTCACTCCTGTGTTTTCTTTTCTTAACCTTGTTGCAAATTACTTTCCCTTATTCTGCATTCTTGGATGGTATCATTGATTTCACCTCCTTCTACCCCTCATCATTTTCCTTGTCCCTTTGGATTTCAATTTGATTGATTTGTTCACTACCAGATGTTCCCCTTTTCATTGGAATTGGTAATTCATATCTTTGAAATTTTTGCTCGGGAAGTTTTCTCTTAGCTAACTTTCTTGTTTTCATTTTATATTTCATATGATTTGCATTGACTGATATAGACCTCTATTTTGGGTGTCCCCACTTACTGCACCATTTCATCTGGTTGCCTTAATTCCATTATGGTCTTATGTGATCCTTGATCTTATTTGGATACACTTGATTTAACAATCTTTTCCTGCCTCATCTGCATTTCTCTCACCCTCCCAACCTTCATTCCAACTCACTCTAAGATGGACATACCATCCTCACTTAACCCTGCTCCTTCATTGTTGGATTCCCATGTTTTCTCTTTTGTATATCTTAGACTCCTTGCTGCTGGACTACCAAGCTTACTTGCCTGTCCAATAGTGCAATGTTCTGGCTTTTTGTTTTTTTCCATTTGCCATTGTTGAGTACCTCTTACGTTTATCTAACTCCATTTGAGAAGTCATGAGCTCTATGATTTGCTGACTTTTCATCCTGAAGTTAACATAAATCATTTGGCTTGTTGCATCCACCTCCTATTGTTCCCTTAGTGAAACATCATGTGCTGAGGAGTGACATTTATATCATATTAAACCAGATATTCACTTCTGGGATCCATCATTTGGTATGAATTGGTTCAATGACCTCTTCGATTCACTTCCCAGTGGGAGGGTGAGGGTCAGGATATTCTCATTTCTAGATGTTAATTTCTTGCGCCTTTTCACTTGTTTGAACTACAGGATAACTAGGCGTGTTGACATTCTTGTTGTTCCTTCAACAATTAGCTTGGATTGATCTCTGATTCAATACCTTCTATTAATAGCCATTCATAAGTTACATTCACATTTTTTCAATTGATTGTTTCACCTCCGGCACCTTTGAGTTACCAGAATGTGAATTGACCTCCACGTGTTCTTAATCTTTCCCTCCCGGGTACTATGAGCTCCCCGAAGTAAATTGAACTTGGTGTGTTTATGACTTCTTGATTTCAAGTCGTTTTATTTATTATGCTCACTCCCGGTCACTGTGAGTTCCCGGGAGTGAATTGAGTTATGGGGCTTGGTATCGCTTCAATAATAGAGGTTCAATTATTTTATATTTTTACACTGACTTCCGGTAAATTAAATGGGGGTCTTGACATTGTTCTGAGAAAACACATCAATTCAGTTGTAAAACTCTCACTTCCGCAATCTGTAAGTTGCCGGAAGTGAATTGACAACCATGTGTTTTTTATCTATCACTTCGGGCCCTATGAGCTCCCTGGGCCGATTTCAGATTGGTATGTTTTTAATCTAATAACTAACAGGTCTTGGGGGCTTCACATTCACTCCCGGTAACTATGAGCTCCCGGAAGTGATTTTTGCTAGTTCCAATTGGTTGATTGGGGAGATACTTCATTTCACTCCAGATGACTTCTTGTTTTGAAGTCGTTTTACTTATTACTTACTTCCGACATGTACGAGTTCCCGGAAGTGACTTGAGTTGGCTGTCTTGGTATCTTTCAATAAGAGGATTTCGGTTCAGTTGGATTCATACTTTAATTTGGATGTCTATTGTGATGCAGTTCTGGTGCTCGTTTTGATAAGCGACATCGAAATCTTACATATTATACTCTCACTTCCAGATTCTAGATGTCCCAGGGAATGATTTGACGTGCTTTTAATTAATACTACACGTCCGGGAACTATGGTTTCCCGGAACTGATCTGGCTTAGGCGTGTTGGTATCGTTTTATATATAATAGATGTTATATTATTCTTATTTCTTTCGTTCCATGTCATATCGTTTTGGGTACACCGCCAACTAATGGAACGATTATGTTCATCTCCGGATTATGCTAGCATCCAGAAGTGAAGCGCCCTGGACTTCTCATGATTCTATATACCTACTTACTCCTCCACTTTCACTTCCCGATTCTCATGGCTTCCGGAGGTGCATCACTCCTGTTAGATTGCCTCTTCAATGCAACTCTTATCGATTTACATGGGGTATTCATCATTCTCTCAACATACACGTCACGTCTAACTGTTGGAACGATTTGCTTCACTTTATAATGACCCATTACTATGACAGCTGGCTCAAAGCAAGTCATATCGACTAGCTGGCTGCTTGATTCTATTAGATTTCCCCTCTGACTACTGCTACAATCTCGTGTATTTCTTTCTGCTCTGATATTGACAAGTCTGTATGCCAACAGGATGCCTTCACTTCTATCTCAATGATATCGGAAGTGATAAGATCTGGTTGCCACATGGGCAAATTGCCTCTTATACCGTTCAACCTTGCCCATTCAAATTGATGGATTGATTAGGGATCATGGATTTCTATGAGTTCATCAGGACCCAAGTCATACACTCTACGTTCTAATCGTCTCACTTCCGCTTGGATCCTCCTAAGCAGAACTTCAGTCAAGTAGGTGGTACTATTCATACCAGGCCTATCAATGATTCTCGCCCTTGCCCTCCCGATTTGGTTGTGGGTTCTAACGAGCCTGCGGATTATTTGCAACTCGACTCTGAAGTTTTCTGTGGTTCGTTGCTCTGGGGTCAGCTTGCGATGGGTTGGAATGATGACTGATTCTAATACTTGCCGAGTCTAATATTGCATAATTGGCCGGCTCTTTCACACTGAGCGCAGCTTCCTCGGTCGACATCATAGACACACGGTTGTGTGGATTGAATCGTTCGGCACCGTCTGCATCGCATCTGTTTGCCGACACCACTCTTTAATGCTGTGAGATTTTGATGGGCTTAGTGGAACAACTCACGGTCTGTGAAGGCTGCCTAGCAGTTGGTTCCATGCTCGACTTTTTGGGAACTTGGCCTTATGTCTTTTGATTCAATTGTAAGGGACTGCATGAGCGGAACTTGGCATGGATATTGGGTTATGTTTGATCAGCTTACATTTTATATGGGATGGGTAGGACGGGGGGCGGGGTGGTTTCTTGGGACGGTCTGGTAGGAAGTTCGGTCGATCAGCTGGGCATATATTTTACTCTTGCTTTAAGTGGGGGTCGTGTTGACATGTTTGAACAGCTTACATTTTATATGGGATCGATACGAGGGGGGAGGGGCGGGGTCTTCTCTTGTTAGTGTCTCGTAGGAAGATCGGTCCTGCTGGGCATTTATTTTACTAAAACTTCCTGGGGGAAGTGTTGCTTGGTATACTGCAGTTGTTGCTTGGTATACTGCAGTACTTTGTTCATTGCTCAGGCATGCCCTTGCTGCAGGGCTGATGTCACCCTCTATCTCCCCACCGTCTCCATCTTCATACTCAGTCCCCTTGAGTCATCTTTGGACATCCACCTGCTGTCCTCCTGTTTATAGGTCCCCACTGCTCGAGAGCAAGAATGGCTATGGGCATCTCGGTTTGGCACCGGTCCTGGCCCCCTTGTACTGGTACCAGAAGTCATTTCCGGGAGAGCTCGTTGGGTTGTCTGGTCATCCAATCTGAGGATGTCTGCCAAAATCTTGCCGATGAAACTTAACTTTGCTTGGTATTACATCATAGACCGGACACCACCTGGTTTCTTCTGGTATTTCTATTTGGTAGGTCTAGGCTTTTTTTGGTGTTGATTTCTATATTCACATTCCTGGATATCTACTCATCTCAACCTCTTCATTGAAGAGTCGTTTGACTGGGGTAGTCACTCCCGGGACCTTGATGATGCCGGAAGTGAATGCCCCAGTGATCGAGGTGTGTCAGAGGGCAGGTGACCCATTCATGAGGCCTCTTCTCATCCTCTCCAGTGAACCTTTGGTTCACTGGATAGTCACCTCACCCCCGGTATGTCATACATGCCGGAAGTGAAAGGCTTTTTGCGCGTGGAATTCTATCATAACACTCCTGGATATCTACACTACTCAACCTCTTCAGATTCGTTTGACTGATTGAGGTGTGTCAGAGGGCAGGTGACCCATTCAGTGAACCAAAGGTTCACTGGTTAGTCACTCCCGGTATGTCAAAGATGCCGGAAGTGACAGGCTTTTTTCGCGTTGAATTCTGTCATCACTTTCCTGGACATTCACTCATCTCAACTTCTTCATTGAAGAGTTGTTTGACTGGCGTAGTCACTCCCGGGACCTTGAAGTTGCCGGAAGTGATTGCCTCAGTGATCGAGATGTGTCAGAGGGCAGGTGACCCTTTCATGAGTTCTCATCTTATCCTCGTTCACTGGGGTAGTCACTCCCGGTATGTCAAAGTTGCCGGAGGTGACTACCTCACCAATCGTGGTGTGTCCGATGGGCTTGCTCGATTTATACTTATCTCATCCCCTTCAGTGAAGATTCGGTCGACTGGGGTGGTTACTCCCGGGATCTTGAGGATGCCGGAAGTGATTATCGGAGGGTTGGAGAACTTCTGGGAACTTGTGTTTGGCGGTAGTGTAATCAACTCGTCATCCTCATCTATGCCTCTACCTCTTGCCGACTATGTCTCTTCTACCTCTTGGCCGACTTCCTCTCAATTAACCTCTGACTCGACTTCGTCTCATGATGGTTTCCCTCTGGGATCCTCTTCAGAATTGGTTTCCATTTCCGGGAACGTTCAGTTCCCGGAAGTGGTTTGATTTGTTGTCATCAGTATATCAGTAGTTTTAATGCTACTCATGTATACTTTGAGGTAGTCGACTTCACCTATGTCTTTATCTCTATCTACCTCCTCCTCGACTTCTTCTCTTGATGCTTTGTATCTGGCTTCGTCGACAGTGTGCGTGTAATCATGTATTTCCCTTCTATGTTGTATTTTTTTCCACTTCCGGGATTGTTCAGTTCCCGGGAGTAGATTTATCAGATCACTTCAGTATTTATCTCTACCCCTACTCGACTTCATCTATGCCTTAGCCTCTTAGTGGACTTCTGATCTTGATGCTTTGCATCTGGATTCTACCGAAGGTACGAGCTGTATTTCTTTGGCCACTTCCGGAAGCGTTGAGTTCCCGGAAGTAGACTGTTTTGATTTCGTCAAATTGTCAGGTTTTTTTTGTATGTCATTATCTTTAGGACACCATAATCTATGGGAGACTGTGTATACGTATAGGATTCACTTCCGGTAGCTCTCATTGTCCGGTAGTGATCCTGCTCGATCACTTCTCGTGGACTCCTCTGGTTGGATACCCTAACTTACGGTTAGGGTTAGGGTTGGGTTGTACATGCCCCGGCGCACCTGGGGGGTCTACCTACATGCCCCGGCGCGCATGGGCGGCACCGTGCTACGACCGCGCCCCGCTCCCCTTCTAGACCCCCGCGCCGCATAGTGCTCCTACCTTCCTCCGCTTGGGTCCAGGCATTTGGTTGACTCACCTGTCATAACCCATTCACCCGTTAACCGTTCTCCCTTTCACCCTTCACCCGATTGCTTTTCGATCACCACTCGACTCATCAATTCCCGATTGAACTTAACTTCCCGATTAAACTTAACAGGTTCGAAGATCGTATTATTCTCTCCGGTTACTGTCGAGGGTTCTGATCCCCTTCCCGCTTCTGCTTCTGTTTGCTTCCGACTCTCAATCTAACCGTCTGGACTCTCATTATCCTTCCATCACCACTCGACCGATATCAACTGTTCTCAAACTTAACAGGTTCGCAGTTCGTATTATTCTCTCTGGTGACTGTCGAGTGTTCTGATCCCCTTCCGCCCTCTGGTTACGCTTCTGCTTCTGTCTGCTTCCACCTCTCAATCTATCCATCTGAACTCTCAATCTATCCCTCAACCTGTCACTGGCCGATGTCGACTGTCTGTCTGCTTGCGGTTCTCAATTCTTCCTGGGGTACCTGTTACTCGACGATGTCAACTTATCATCATCAGACCCTGCTCCGGTCAGTAGCCTCTCAGGTCATCATTTCGGTTCGACTATCCTCATGATCTGACATTCTTCTATCCTTCACCTCAACGCGTTACTCGCCGATCTCACCTTATCAACATCAGTTCACTGCTTTGTTGGTATGCTCTCGGTTTCTGTATTATTTGGATCGTTCTCAAGAGCTGACCCTCTGCTTCTGCTCCTGCTTCGGTCTTTCTTTCAATTCCTCCTCCTGTTTGTTAAAGGCCGATCTCATTTGACCAACTTCAGAATCCTGCGGTGTCTGACTGAGACGAGTTCGACCTTCAAAGCTCTCGTTTCCTCCGTTTCTCATTCTTCTCCTCTCAGGTTTCAAGAGATACTCTCGTCTAACGTCCGATTCAACTATCACCCACCCCTTTCAACTGACACCCCCCTCTAGCGACCAAATCAACTGACACCCAACTCGAGCAAACGCTTGCTATCAGCTGTATGTAAGTCGGCTCTCTTCGTGAAAGGATCAGGTGCATTGTGTGTCAAGTGCTCACTTTATTCTTTGACTTCTTCCTATATATAGCTTGAACGTCCCCATGGCGCACGATACATCGAACGCGTCTTCCCCTCTCTCCGATCCGTTGCCAGCCAATCATGGGCCCCCCTTTTCTTTGCCAGAAGACATCCCGTCTTCTATATCGGAAGGCCACGAAGGCAAGATTCACTTCCACTTCGATCACCCATCACCCTTGTCTTGACTCCAGCTGGTCACACTATGTAGATAGATTGTTTTCGCTGACTCTGCAGTTCTGCTTCCTCCCTCTAGCTATGGAAGATGGTTTACCGTTCAAACAACCGCAGTTAACCAGTAAGGATCCCCAAGGGAAGACTGCCTCCGGCGCGGCCCCTGTAAGTTAACCTGGTGAATGTTTGGCTGGCACTGAAGTGGGTGGCTTCACTAAGAATATGATCTCATCACTGTTTAATCCAGGGCGCAAAAACGGCAAAGAGGTCGGAGGAATGGAAGGTCCCACCGCCCAAGCGTCTGGCTCGAGTCGTTAATGCTCACACGAAGATAGTATCTCCGTTGGTGAGTTGTCCCAATATTGAGCCTCTGATCTCCATGTTTTATTCAATCTGGTCTGTCTTGGCCCCGGGATTGTCAGGTGCAACGATTGGATAAACCTGGGAAGTCGAAACCCACCCCAGATGAATTCCGTTCGACCGGCCGGGATGGGGCTGAGTTAGACCCCGCGTTATCCGCCGACGAAGAGGATGTGAATGTTGCCGACAAAGAGGAGACTGGCTCGCGCTCTTCTGCACTTGTCAACAAGGTATGAATGTCTCTCTCATGTCTCTGGTGACTGCTCTTATCAGGTTGCATGTTTATTGTTGTGTTCTTCTTTGTAGATTAAGTCCCTCATCAAAGAGACACCCAAAAAGGCTCTCAAGAAGAAGACGGCCAACAAGTCCAACCCGTTGCGTTTGGGTTCCATGGACGTTGATCCACCTGTGACCGATAAGCATCATGCAAGAGGGGGTTCGATGCCCTTGACCAAGGTTGGCTTAGTTCTATCTCGGCCCTCCATTATCGTCCTCACCTTACCGTGTTCTGATGTGTTTCTCTTCACTATCTCTTTCAAGTTCGACTCTCAAGGCCTCAATTTGTCTTCCGCAGGCCAGAAGACTCCTAAGGACAAGATGCCCGCCGAACGTTCAGACAAGATGAACGTTGATCCTCCCGCTCTCGCAAGGCTCAAAGCGACCTTTGCTATTCCTGCTGCCTCGACTGCCTATCCGCTCCAGGAGCCTGCTGCCAATCCTTCGACTCCGGCCCGAATGGACAACATCAACAAATATCCGGCTGGACTCACCCGCAGGGGCCCCCAAACTACTCCCGGTAATCCTGGTCACCTAACCAGAACTCCCTCGACCTCGACTACCATCTCAAATGCTGTCCTACCTAATTTGGCTAAAGCGTCTTTAGCTGACATGAAGGCAATGCGCGGGATTTGTAAGTCTTTGACATCATACTCATCTGCCCAGTGGGGAATCATCTACTAATCTAATCTGGGTTTGCAGGGATAAGGGATAAGGAGAATGCCGCTGCCAACGTTTCTGAGCTTCGAAGGGCGGGCCATCACTTGATTGCACCGGCTGCCTATGAATATCAAGATCGACACCTCAGGAGGGTGACCAGGTTTTGTTCCCAGCTGGATCGCAAGATTGAAGAGTCGGAGCGCACCGGTCTAGTGGAGGAGATTGAAGTCATTGACTTGACGGAAGAGCCGGACGATCCTACAGAGAACAGTGTGGTTGGGTTGACGGGTGCCAAGAGGCCTATGGGTAAGTCTGAGTCCTGCTAATGCTTCAAGGGACATCCATCTAACTATTTGTTGGCTAATTCGGCTTGCTTGTTTATTATGATTCCAGAGGGGTCGTCATCAATGGATGTTGATGACAGCCCAGTTGAGTCCAAGAAGGCTCGAACTTCTGGTCAGTGCACACCTGTTCTCCTGGCTTTGTCATGTATGCTGAGATATAGGGGTGGTTCTTCAGGCTTGGCTCCCGTAAAGATTGATCCTCCAAACCTGGGCCCTTATGGCTTCCGTTCCATTCCCGACAAGGATGCCGCTCTCGCTGGACTTACTCCCCGCTTCCCAGTCAATAAACAGCCGACGATCTCCGAGTTCATCAGTCAATCTAATCCATCTCTCATGCAGCCTCTGCCGATGTCTAATCCTCCACTCCAGCCGACAATGGGTTCTTCTTCCTCTTTGGCTAAAGGGAAGTTGACTCCTGTTGTGGTGATCAATTCCTCATCGGCGGCAAACCTTCGGTCAACTCCTGCCTCCTCCCATTCAACTGCGCCGGAGAATGTCAACTTGTCATCTGCCCAAGGAATGGCCAGCACCTCTTCTCTAGTTGCGGCTTCTACATCGGTCCCAGCTCTCGGTCCTTCTTCGCTCGAGTCGTCTTCTACTTCCAATATCCATGTCTCAGCGCCCTCCGGTCCTCAAACCTCCAAGAAGTCTTCTCACCCTTCTGCTGCTTCTAAGTCTAAGGAGGTGCGGTCATCTCAACGTGTTACAAGGGGCTCCTCGGGGACCTCCAAACCGACTTCGGCCTCAAAGTCTAAGAATGTTGTCTCAGCCCCGTCTTCGAATCCTTTGGAGAAGGAATTGGGTGCCACACCGAATCAAGATAGTTCACCTCACCCTCGCCAAGCCCCCAAGGAAAATCAAAACATCTCTAACACTCCAGTTCCGCCGGCCACCAAGGATGTTGCTCCTGCTTCGACAGACATTCCTCCAGCTACGAATGATGTTCCTCCAGCCACGAAAGACTTGCCTGCTAACTCTACTCTGGACGACTCCGCTCAACGTTCTCAGGGCGGTCAATCAATCAATGCGCCTTCTGCCTTGCCTCCATCTGGGAGGGTGTTGCCGAATTCGACCTTGCCGGAAAAATCAAAGGATGCTCAAAACAAGGATAAGGATGTTGTTGACGAGGGGGTGGACGAGTTGGAGGAGCTGTCAGACAGGGAGGAAGCTCCAAAGAAGCGAGGTGGTAAAGGGAAAGGGAAGGCCCAGAAGAAGACTCCGAAAACACCAAAACCGCCAAAGACGCCCAGGCTTAAAGTGATCGGAAATGACGCCGGAACAGAAACTCGAGCGGGATC